TGGGTGTATTTTGATAAACTGTGGATGTTTTGGCACAATCTCAAAAATCTGTCTTCAAGGTACTATTAAAGTCATTATTAAAACATACTAAAGAAAGTTATCTTGATATTTAAACCTTTATAACTCACCCATTTTTATTATTGGGAATTTGAGACATTTTAGTGTGTTCATTTAGGAAATGCACTAAAACCTATCTTGATGGTTAAAAGGACTTTGTGCATTGTGATGTCGTCCTAAGGGAGTTTCCATATTCTGTTCTGTTTCAGGGCCTTTTCATTTAATATTTTTTTTTAACAGTTGAGCAAAGATACACTTTCATGTAGCAAAGCTTCAGGTCAGTAGTTTTTTTTTTCTTTTTCTTTTTTTCTTTTTTTTAAGACAGGGTTTCTCTGTGTAGCTCTGGCTGACTTGGAACTCGCTGTGTAGACCAGGCTGTCCTCAAACTCAAACACAGAGCTCCCCCTGCCTCTGCCTCTAGAGTGCTGGGATTAAAGCTGTGTGCCAACACTGCCTGATCAATCAGGTCAGTGGTTCTTAATGTGCAAATAGAAGGAAGAATTGCAGAGTTCTTGAAGTAAAATGTTTTCTTTTTAATTACCTCTTTATATTTTAACTAAGAATTTTATTTCTACTTTTAATATTTAGTTCACATTTGATCAAAAATCTGATTCTCTTGGTCTATATATTTTAAAATATTATGTATTGTGGCTCTTTAAGAAACTGCCCAATTCATCAAAACCCTTTTCCTTTCTTTTTGTTTCTAAAAAACTTAGTTTACAGTCTCATAACTCAAGTCTCTATATCAAACTAAGAGATATTGCATTTGTATATAATAGAAACTTGCTGTTTGAACTTAGTGACTTTAAAGAACAAGGCCAGAATGGATAGGTTCACTTAGCTGTGCTGGATTCAAATTCACTGCTCCTTTGTTCTTTATTTTTTTCTCCTAACCTTTGAAAACAAAACCTAATGCTAATATAGGAAATAACACAGTGTACAGTATATTTCTCTCTGTGTATTTTTATGTAAGTTTAAAAAATAGTTTAAAAATTTATTTAAAAATAGTTTAAAAAATAGTTTAAAAATTGATTTGTGTGTGTGTGTGTGTGTGTGTGTGTGTGTGTGTGTGTGTAAAAAAGGAAAATGAGTCCTTCTGGGGTTATTAAGGAAGAGCAGGTCGTTATAGAAAGAATGGTTGTGATTTCAAGAGGGTATTTTTACATCATATGTATTTGTGATAATGAAAGCAGCCTTAAAAATGCTTTCCAATTACTGTTGAAATAAAATTTTTCTTACTAGATATGTGAGATAAGAGAATGGTGAGACAAATACAAACTTCAAATGAAAATTTAAAGTGCCAAATTAGTTTTTAAGTTTTCCATATTTCATCTACTATGATCTTAGACCTTTGAAAACATTACTTTGAAACCAAAACAGTTTGAGCCATAATCTAATAAGATGTATTGTATTTGTGTTGCCATGTTATTTTATATTTCAAAAGAAATGGTATCTGTAGCCTAGTCTATAATAGTAAATTATTTTGGAAATGTGGCTTGACACACAAACAGATGTGTTTTCTTGATTTCTTTTGACTGAAGTTGGTGGTTAGTGGCTCATTGTTCTGTGATTGGCACCGAAAGCTTCATTTCACAGCTTGCAGTAGGAATCTATTGGGTAAAGAGTGGTTGTGTTCCACAAACGAAATTCAGAAAGTGTCAATCAACCTCTTACATGGGTTACTCAGAGAATGAGTTTTCTTACTGATTTCACTAAATGTCGCCTCATGCTGTCTTTGATTGGCACAGCCTGGCAGGGAGGATGGATGGATCTGTCACCAGCTAGTTAATTGTGTTGCTGGCCTCAGTCTGACATCAGGTCTTTGACTCTTAAATGGCTCAATACAAAACAAATTAGCAGATTGTAGTCATATTTCTCATTCTATATGCTCTGACTTTGGTGAATGCAGTCCATAAATCATATTGACTGACACACAAGAAAACGATGAAAGCTGCTTTTGAGACGAACGTCCAGAAAGCAGCGCTGTGAAGGTGCCGTGGAAGGATGCATATGGTCGACCCTGTGGGAATTTCCTAGGAGCCAAATGTCTCTTTGCCACAATTGTTCTTAGAAGAAAAGCTTTGGGGTAATGCAGAAAGGATCTAATATGTCAGCAGATTCTCTTTTACAAGTTCCTTTGAAATATAAGAAGTTTGTCTAAGGGTTTTCTCTCTTGGCAAGTTGTTTTTCAGAAAAAAAAATGTTAAAGCAGGGTGAAAAAAGCATAGTTACCTTTTTAAGAGTTTGACAGGTGTTTTTACTTATTGAACTTTGTGTTGTTAAAGAGAAAGAAAATGCTAGTAAAGTTGCAAGTAATTTTCAAATGAGGGCAGTAAATGTTTGATTGCTTAAAATATATTAGATGTACACTGCTTTGTTGATTATTTTGACCTTGCTATATTGTTCTTGTCTAGTAAAAGCTAGTTTTTAAAAGACAACTATAAAAGTGTTTAATTTTTTTGTTTTAGGATGATGCATTATTGTAAGAATCAATGTTACTAGTTATAATAGTGTTCAGGGAGGTGTATTTGGGTTATTAAAATGGCCAAGAGTCTTAGGCATGAAATATCAGTTGCAAATATGTTTTTGAGTATAAAAATATTGAAGACATTAAAATATTTCTATATAAAATAAGTAGATAAAATTTAAAAATTGTTCTTTATTTTCTGAAATCAAAGTGGATATCTAGAAAATAGTGTGTATCTTGTAAAATATAAGCTTTTAAAATTTTCAACAATCGGAATCTTTGATAACATTAACTTAAATTTTAATGTGCAAAAAGGAATAATTTATTTTATTTAAAAAATTTATAAAATTTTGTACTTTGTACTTTAAAACTTTTCTTTGAGAATAATAAGCCTGTATCCATTATGCCTAATCAAAAGAAGTTTAATATTAAGATATTACTGTTATAAATATTGTTTAACTACAAAGGAGACTTACTTACTCAGGTATTTCCATTGCCTGATCCCACCAGATTTATGGAATTGCTTATAATCTTGTCATCATTTTTGGCTCTATAACTATTGTACAGATATTTTTACCTCTGAACCTATGTTAAAATAATGCCACTTATAATGTGTAGAATGTTTATTAACAAAGTGAGTTAAATAATTTTTGGACAATTTATTAGTTTGCTTTTTCAAACTAGTAGCTAGTACTTTGTCATGTAACAATACAATAGGCCATAGAGCTAAACTGATGGAGAAGTACATTAAGCTAAAAATGCAGTTGTGTTCCATTAAGTCAAAATAACATCTCTATGAAGTGTTTGCAAACATACTACACCGGAATTAAATGACATGCCATAGATTTCTCTTTTTTTTCTGCTTTTATTCCCCTCCCATTCATATTGATATTATTCTGCTTGGAGAATGGAGCTGCATGTCTCTCAGACTAATTCTTCTTGGATTTGGGGCCTTTTGAGCATGCTGGGGTTTTTATTGTTTGTTACATTCTTTTTTTGGCAATTCATCAGTATCTGTCAAATATATTGTTTGCATTGGCTCTTATCTCTGAGGTTTTTGATTGAGAAATTGACACTGCATGGCAGACATTTAGTTTTCTGCTATGCATAGTGCCTAATTGCTAAGCACCCATCCATAAGCAGTTTGGTTCTAGTCTGATTTTTAATATGTAATTTAAAGAACAAGTATTCTGAAATGTATTTATTTTCCTTATGATTTTTTTGTATCAACTCTATGTAAACATTTTTCTTTTAGTATATTGTAGCATCTATGTTTGAAAGATGGTTTTTTGGTTTGTTGCTCTGTTTGCCTTTGTGGTTAGTAGGAAGAAAACACAATTATCAGATATCACTGGGTAAATATTTGTTGATTGAAATGATGCAAAACGTGTCATGTCTCCTAAAAATCATTATTTTCCTAACTGTAATTCTAGTCTTTGACTCCCATCAAAGCAGTTAGCCCATCACCTAATCATAGAATCATTTGAAGGCAGCCACCCTAGGAGGCTCACACCGGAAAACTTTGACCTAAATGAGTTTATACTGTTAAACATATGCTTCAAATGCAAGTACTGCCTAAAGAAGCGAGTTATAGATGGGATATGTTTTTAATCCCAATGCTCAGGAAGCAAAGATGGGCAAATCTCTGGGTGTTTAATGCTAGCCATAGTGAGTTTCAGGCCAACCAGAGCTACATAGTGATACCCTGTCTCCTCTGCCCCTCTAAAAAAAGGCAATTTATACTCATTGTGAGTCAACTGTGTAATCTATACAGCAAACCTAAAAAAACTCGTATTTTAAGAAAATTTGAGTAAGACTGTCAATGGAAGTTCATATAGAACTTCTAGAACTTAAAGTGAATTGTGTATTGTACTGAAAGAGTGCATGAGTATTAGTTTCTGTAATTACATGCAGCAAGAACTTGATTGACTAGAAATGAAGCTGAAGTCAAAGTGAGGAGCAAACCGCTTTTCCCCACTGGTAACTGTGACTCTCTGTGCTGAGGAGAAGTGAGGACTCTGTCTTGAAGTGTGCTTTGATTTATAGGTACAGTTTAAGTAGCAGTAATAAGAGCAGCTTATGTTACACAGTTGACTTCCTTTGTTCTGTCTTAGTTAGGCATATAAAGGGGAGCTCAGTGGGCATCGTATGAATAAACTGTTTTGTCAGTATGGTAATTTAATGTAACAAATGCCATATTTTCTTGTGCATTTAAAGTGTTACATTATTTCAAGAGATCTGAAATATATCTTCAAATGTATAATTTTAATTTGTGTGGTTAGCATTTTAATAATATTGTATCTTGAAAAAGATGAATTTTAATTCTTAGGATACAAGTACACAGTCTTGTAGAATAGAAACAGAAAGACCAACAATCAGTATTGTACCAACAAGAGTGCCCGGTGTACAATCTTGTGCTATTTTATGATGTATTTCCAGGCTTGCTTTTTGTTTACTTTTGATTTGTTTTACATAGGGGAAAGTTGCCCAAACAGCTTGCATGTCAGCCTGCCAGCATCTGTCAACATCCTTAATGCAGATGCTACTGGACAGCGAGTTAAAACAGATAAGCATGGGAGCCGTTCAGCAGTTTAACCTAGATGTCATACAGTGTGAATGTAAGTACATATTGGCCAACTCTCATACTTTCTCTAGAAGTCTACATTTATTATTATGGAAAGTTGTATATAGTAGGACATATTGACAAGGAAGAAGAACCATTTGACTACATTTTTGGCAGATTTAGAAGGATAGTTAACTCCTTCCCAGGATGAAAAATTACCTCAGTTATTTACATTAATAGCCTCAAAGAACTTCACCGAAGTGGTGATTTAGATCAAGGTAGCAAAAGAAATGATCTCCTCCCTCTGGTCATTCTTGCTGCCTCTCTGGAGCTCTCCTAGGATGCCTGCTGTAAATGAATGAAACAACCCCAGCTTGTCATTTTTACTTTCCTGAACATCCAAGACCTTCTGCAGCAAATGGTGTTTCTACAGTTTTGTTCCTCATTCCTAAAGTGTTTTCCGGCCTTGATAGCTGCAGGGTTTTTCTACATCATTTTGTTTATACCGCAGGGTTTGCATCTGTGGTCTAGTATTGACATTGGCTAATGAGCTTTAGAGCTCCTACTGTTAGTAGCCTTGTTACACACACCTCAGAAATGGGTTTTTATCAGACCCCCAGCCCTAACTAGCTTGCCAGAGAACCTTGAGTCATTTTCAAACAGTATTCTCAGATGAATGATCCCCTAATTAAATGATGAAAGGTTGACAAAGGAATCAGATGCCTCCACTGACAGTTGAAAGTCAGTAGGGCACTGGAAAGATTGCAGAAAATTTTCTGGATGAGGGGGCGGAGTTTACAATAACATATTATTTGAAAGACTAAAAAAAATTAATATCAACAGCCTTCAACTAAACCAGAAATAATGTGGGTTTTTTCCCCAGTAACAAATATAAAATATTTGTGTGCCTGTGTATAATGTATTCTGCTAGGGGGAAAATGTTTGCCTTTTCCTAGAAAGTGATTCTAACTTTATTTTACCAGAAAGCTTTTATTTTTCTCAAATTAAAATTCTCATTTGTAAAATATTTGTTTTGTATTGATAAAAATATTTGACCTAAAAATGTACCTTTTAAAATTTTCTAAGCTCAGATCAATTATTAGTCTCCATCTACAGATTATTTGGGCCTCCTCTCTGTCCTCCTTTCTTTCCCCCTTTATCTCTCCACCCCTTCTCTTTTGTTTTTAATTTGCAGATTTAATTTAATTAGCAGATGTCCTTACAGCACGTTCACACATACTGAGTCTTGGTGGACCATCCCCACAGTAGCCTCCACTTCCTGCCTTCCCTCTCTCCTGTACCCTTCCACTCCAACATTACATTTTCTGTCTCCTTTTCTGGTGCTGGGAATTGAATCCTAGATCCGCACAATTCTAAGCCTACCCTCCTACCACTGAGCAGTACCCCTAACTTAACTGGTTTCTTTAAGAAGTTGTTTTTGAGATCATTACAGTCTGCTATTGCTTATGTCAATATTTCACACAAATATTGCTTGATTCATTTTGTATTATTTTGTCTTTAGTGTGGCTTTAAAATAACTAGGTATTTGGCTAACTGGCTGGTTCATCCAGTAAAGGCGCTTTCTGCCACGCCTAGTGACCTGAGCTCATCTGCAGAACTCACACGGTAGCTGAAGAAAGCTCTCACAAGTTGCTCTCTGACCTCTACATGTGTGCTGTGCTGTAAGCCTGTGCTCACTTTTGTCTACACACACAAAATAAATAAATACAACAAAACTTTAGTAATAATTGGTAGTTAGACCTTCCATTGGGTTCAGTTGTGTCTTCTTGGTTACGTGTTGCTAAGTGATAGACATTGCGATCTGCGCAGGCAGCTTTCTGGTGTCCAGCTCTTGCTCCCCTACTTCCCTGTGAAGGACTATAGAGAAGCACGCACTACAGCCCCACCCAGGCATTGCCTCTCACCCCCTCTAGGATGCTCCCTTCTTCTAGTCATTCCTTTGGCCGTTACTACAGGCACCTTGTTATTTTACCAGAGAAGACCAAGAATTCCTTTCCATGCAGATTTCCATGCAGTCTGGTGTCAGGTGCACGTGGGGCAAATCTTCCTCTGTTGAACTGAATCTCGGCACAGAGACGTGGAAGGAGGCGACTGAAGCTCTGCACCATTTCTTCTTCCTTTGAGGTTTTACCTTTGGTTGGCTCTGCTCTTTAAGATTATCATGCAGAACTGCTCTAATCATTACTTTTCATGTTTTTTGGCATTATTTTTATAAATTTAGTGTGTTTTGTAAATTTAGTTTGTAAATTTATGTGTGTTCATGCATTTGTCATGGCGTGTATGTGGAGATCAGAAGACAACATGTAGGAATCAGTTCCCTCCTTCTACCATGTGGATTCCAGGGATCAAATTCAGGTCATCAGGCTTGGTTGCAAGCACCTTTGTCTACTAAACCATTCCACTGATGCCCTGTAATCACTATTTCTTAATATAGTATCACATATTCTGTTCTTATTGAACAAATATGAATTTTTTTTAATATTTTTTATGGTTTATTTAACTTTATTTTATGTGCATTGGTGTGAAGGTGTCAGATCCCCCGGAACTGGGTTTTCAGACAGCTGTGAGCTGCCATGTGGGTGCTGGGAATTGAACCCGGGTCCTCTGGAAGAGCAGTCAGTGCTCTTAACCGCTGAGCCATCTCTCCAGCCCACAAATATGAATTTTTATATGTTTATTTTACTACCTCCCATGTTGAATATTTTCCAAAAGGTATCTTTTAACTTTCAACAGTGAGTTTATAATATAGATAATGATGAACTCTCTTGTATTCTTTTTAAAAGAAAAAATATATACTGTCATCCACTCGCAACTTTTAGTGATTGCTATATGTATTAGTTGTGTGAACGTGAAACTGTCTTTAATATTATAAGTATTTTAAAAGATGTCAAAAATAAGTTTTTATCATGTTTTAAACAATCATTTTTAAATCTAGGGATGTACTTTTAAAATATAAAGCTTGTTTTCAACATTAATGCAATATATACATTTTCTACATGTTAGGACAGGGAAAGAAGAAAGGTATGCAGGAAGAGGAATTTGACTAGATGGGGGAAGGCTGAAATTCTTAATAAGTAGGTGGCAATCTTAGCATCATGTCATTCGCCTGGGATATGAAGAAGAAATCAAGCAGTCCAGATAAAGAATCTTAGAACCTAAACAATCATTGAATCCCCCTCCACACACACACACACACACATGGTCATGGCGCACCTGCTCTCGTACTCCTCCATGGTGAGGTCGTCTGGCACTGGATACAGGAACAGACCTGGAGCTGCACACTGTGCTCTGCAATAGCCGTGCTGGGTAGCTGTCCAGCCCTACCTTAAGCATCTGATTTGAAGGATTAACTACACTTCAGAAAATGTGTTCCATGAGATACACTTTGCTCTGTTGGATTGTATCGACCTGAAACTACTTGCTCTCTGAGTAAGTTCTTTTAAGTGAGAATTCTGCTATAGCCTGGAGTTACCACTAGTCTAGATTGTGCCTTTTGTTAAAGATGTTCTCACCAAAAGGGAAATGCCCTGTAGAGCTGTCTTCTTTATATGCATTAGAGAAAGTTTGCCCTTTTCTAGTTGAACCCAACTGCTCCCACAACACATGACTGTTCAGATAAAATACAAACTAGATTTCAGCTACTCATTTGGTCATGTGTGCATATGACATAGACTGACAACTCTGTATCACTTAGAGTCATGCGCAGACACAAAGCTCCATTCCTGAGTTAACGTTCTGAAAACTGCTCGTTATCTTCCAAGTGTTCTCCCTGCTAATTTGACTGTTTTCACTGACATTGTCTGATGCCTTGATCTAAGGATACCACTATGATATGCAGTTGGACTGCCAAGTACACTGTTCTGTTCTCTGTACTCTATTAACAGAGACCAAACTGAAGGGCATGGTGGCACTTGGAAGACTGAGGCAGGAGGATTGCCACAGTTCAAGTGTTTTAAAGCAGCAATGAAGAAAGCTCAAACTATCCTTTCTTAGTGGCCAGGATGTACTTTGAAATAATTGAAGCATTCTGAAATCCATATGTAATGGGACCGGGGAGCTGGCACAGTCTGGAAGCATGAGGACCCAGGGGCTTATTGCCAGCACCCATGTAAAAAACCGGGCATGGTGGCACACATCTGCAAGTGCCAACTAGTAGCCAGAGACAGGTAGATCCTGTAGCTCTCTTTGTAGCCAGATTAGCAGAATCATGAGCTCCAAGTTCCTTAAGAAACCAACCATGTCTTAAAAATAAAGTGGAAAATATGTGCTTGTCTGTGTGTGTGGTGGGTGGGTCAAAGAAAAATGCATGATGTTAGTTCTGTCCTTCCTCTCTGTGGGTCCCAGGGATCCACCTCAGCTTTCCAGATGTGGTGGCAAGTGCCTTCACCACTGAACCATCTCTCCACCCTTACTGAGGCTTTTAAATCAAGACTTGATGCTAAGTTTGCACATAAAAGATACACGTAAGCAACCAAGAAAAGACAATCAATAGCGCTCTTGATAGAAAAACAGGTGGAAAGACATTGGGCTTAGGAATAATGGAAATCTAGGCTCAAATAAAGTATCTTCTTTCTGTGAGTGTTTGGGACAGGTCACACAGCTTTGTGAGATTTGTTATGACAGTGAGACAGAATGCGATGTGTCTGTGGTAAGCCATGATCAAACCAGAAATGTTTAAAATAGGGACAATTTAGTTCGTAAAAAAAGCAATTTATATGTGTATTTTAGATTGAAGAGGAAGAAACTGTTCTCAGGTAGTCTTGTCTCACATGGGCAGCTGATGTTATTAAAAGAGATTAGGACATACACGACAGTGGAGAGAATACAGTCCACTCATAGTGTGGACTGTTTAGGTGTGGAAAGCTGGAAGCTGTAAGTGAGCAGGTAGGCCCTTTCAGCCAATAGTTCTGTAGTTCTGTTCCTTTGTTCCTGAAGGACGCCTACATGGTCCAGATAGATTTTGAAAGAAATGCTCTTATCTGCTTTCCTTACTGTGGTATCAGCTCATAGAGGTACCACGGTGGGTACTTGGGG